ATTATTTAGGCCCCTACATTAACCCCAAGTCCGACACCCCTCAGGGCAGACGGAGGTCGCAGCCATGCCGATACGAGCGCCCAGCCTCTCCACGTTCTCCTTTCCGCGCAAAGGCCCCGAAGGTTCAGGGGTGGCGGTTTTTTACTATGGGGTGTAGGGTTTGGGGTTTCGGGTTTAGGGTTGTGGGTTTTGGGTTGTGGGGTGTCGGGTTCATCATGTTCAGGGGTCGAGGATCAATGACAGCCAGCGGTGCTGGGAGCTGTTAGGGTGTCAGGCCCGCGTCGAAGATCTCAGGGACCATCGTGACCTGTAACATGTGGATAATTCTCTAGATAAGGGTTCCTGTTTAGGAACGCAAGTATAGTACGGAACCCTTATAAAGCACCCTACAAGGGACCCTAATTTAGAGAACTCCCCATGTGGCAAGAACGTCTCCTGGAGTGGGGTCTTGCTGCTCGTTGAGCCACAGCTGCATCTTCCGGCATCGTCATCCTCCTTCGCCATCATTTGGGCGATTTCGCCGATCCGCGTGTCCTTGGACACTTCAGGGCTCTTGGGTTTTGGCTTTCTGGTCGCCTTTTCAAGTTCAGCCAAAACCGTTTACGGCTTTGGGTGTCAGACGTAAAGCTCGCCAGCTCTAAATCTTCCGAGCGGCCATACCGGTCGCCACTACCACGCCGGTGCATCGCCCGCTGGCGACAGGACATCCCGAGAAAGCCATGTTCTCAGGTGTCAGCTTCGTCTGCTCTTTGATCCTGGGCTGAGGGTCGCGCCCCTTCACGACTTTACCCACAGGACAGATTTCAACACCACGCTGTATGTTGCACACTTCGTCGGCTTTACTCACCGTCAACCCCCTACACTTTTAGCCCCCCCCCCCTCCACCAAATACTGAAACGCAAAATGCCGGAACCAACAAAACGGTAGACACGGAACCCCAGACATGCAAACTCTTGCGGTTCAAAGACGTGCCATCAGCCCTCAATCCTAAAACCCACAACCCGACAAGACCCAATGTACGGAGTCTCAATACTTCGTCGTAATGGTCCCTTGCAATCCCTCTTAAGCTCTCATGGAACTTTCCCCACCCTAGTCGAACCAGGGAGGCCCCCTTTTTCCAAACCTTTGTTGTAGCCCTTTGTAATAACCCCTATAGTAACCCTTTAAAGAACCTCTGCAAAGTAACCCAAACTACTGCAGAGAATTTGTTTATCGACCCCCTTACACAGCCCTTATAAAGAACCCTTATGGCCGCCTTTGAACCCTGCTCGAAATACTCAGGCTCCTAATAATACTGATCGCTACATCCTGTGTCTAAACCCTTTAAAAGGACCCCTAAACCCTAAACCCAATGTATAGTAAATCTTTCAAGGAGCTTGGTGTTCTTGGGCACGTCCTCAGGCTCGCCGGTAAGAGCCTTCGCAAATAAACCCCTTTTAAAAGGGCTTTGAGGTTTAGGGGATTTTTTTTGCAGATACATCATTTTAAACGGGCTTTGGGGTTTAGGGGACTTTTTTTCTTGAGGGCTCTGTTCAGTCCTCCTTGTCTGGCATCTGCAACTCTGCTAGCGCATAGGAGCCTCTGTGTTGGGAGCCGAACACGGTTTAGG